TTCTGGGTGTTTCTGCATGTCCACGTGTACAATGCACAAAATAAAAAAGTAGCACATCTAGTATCACTAATAATTTTGTGCACAGTAGAATATAATTCCCATAAACATTTTCCCGTTACTTAATTTCTAGAAGGAATTTTGTAGTTGGGAGTCATAGCTTGAGCAAATCTCAAAACTCCTTCAATTTCGACTACTGAGAGTGGTTGGCAGTCTATAAGCATCACTTCAACAAATTTTGTTTAGGTTTTTTAACTCCATACACCTAAAATAATAAGGAAGTTCTTTAAAACATTTCTGTAAAGTCTGTTTTAAAGTTTGTTTAGTGAGGGTGCCTGGGTGGCTCAGTCAGTTAAGCGACTGCCTTCGGCTCAGGTCATGATCCTGGAGTCCCGGGATCGAGTCCCGCATCGGGCTCCCTGCTCGGCAGGGAGTCTGCTTCTCCCTCTGACCCTCCTCCCTCTCACGCTGTCTCTCATTCTCTCTCTCGCAAATAAATAAATTAAATCTTTAAAAAAATAAAATAAAATAAAATAAAGTTTGTTTAGTGAGACTCAAACGAGCTTTGGCTATCTCACCTGTCTCTAAGACTTTCTTCCCCTTAGTCATTACAATCTTGATTATTATAATTAGATGGAGCATGATTTATCATAGATGTACATGATTTTGGAGTTTTTCTTTCTTATGAAATTTTAAGGTGGGCCCAGAAATGGACCCTCAACTCTATAGTCAACTAATCTTTGACAAAGCAGGAAAGAATGTCCAATGGAAAAAAGACAGTCTCTTCAACAAATGGTGTTGGGGAAATTGGACAGCCACACACAGAAGAATGAAACTGGACCATCTCCTTACACCACACACAAAAACACAAAAATAGACTCAAAATGGATGAAAGACCTAAATGTGAGACAGAAATCCATCAAAATCCTTGACGAGAACACAGGCAGCAACCTCCTCGACCTCAGCCGCAGCAACTTCTTCCTAGAAACATCGCCAAACGCAAGGAAAGCAAGGGCAAAAATGAACTATTGGGACCTCATCAAGATAAAAAGCTTTTGCACAGTAAAGGAAACAGTCAACAAAACCAAAAGGCAACCAACAGAATTGAAGAAGATATTTGCAAATGACATATCAGATAAAGGGCTAGTATCCAAAATCCATAAAGAACTTATCAAACTCAACACCCAAAGAACAAATGATCCAATCAAGAAATGGGCAGAAGACATGAACAGACATTTCTGCAAAGAAGTCATCCAAATGGCCAACAGACACATGAAAAAGTACTCAACATCACTCGGCATCAGGGAAATACAAATCAAAACCTTAATGAAATACCCCTGCACACCAGTCAGAATGGCTAAAATTAACAGGTCAGGAAATGACAAATGTTGGCGAGGATGTGGAGAAAGGGGAACCGTCCTACAGTGTTGGTGGGAATGCAAGCTGGTGCAGTCACTCTGGAAAACAGTATGGAGGTTCCTCAAAAGTTGAAAATAGAGCTACCCTACGACCCAGCAATTGCACTACTGGGTATTTACCCTAAAGATACAAATGTAGTGATCCAAAGGGGCACCTGCACCCCAATGTTTATAGCAGCAATGTCCACAATAGCCAAACTATGGAAAGAGCCTAGATGTCCATCAACGGATGAATGGATAAAGAAAATGTGGTGTGTATGTATATATATATATATATACACATACACATACACACACATACACACACACTGGAATATTATGCAGCCATCAAAAAAATGAAATCTTGCCATTTGCAACTATGTGGATGGAACCAGAGGATATTATGCTAAGCAAAATAAGTCAATTAGAGAAAGACAATTATGATCTCACTGATATGTGGAATTTGAGAAACAAGACAGAGGATCATAGGGGAAGGGAGGGAAAAATGAAACAAGATGAAACCAGAGAGGGAGACAAACCATAAGAAACTCTTAATCTCAGGAAACAAACTGAGGGTGGCTGAAGTGGTGGGGGGGTGGGAGGGATGGGAGGGCTGGGTGATGGACATTGGGGAGGGTATGTGCTGTGGTGAGCGCTGTGAATTGTGTAAGCCTGATGAATCACAGACCTGTACCCCTGAAACAAATAATACATTATATGTTAATTTTAAAAAAAGGTAAAAAAAAAAAAGAAATTTTAAGGTGGAAAAGTTGACATTTAGGTTTTATTTCATCCTCATAAGCTATGGAAAGATTTTCATTTTTATTTTTATTTATTATTTATTTATTTTGAGAGCATGAGCGGTAGGGAGAAGGGGCAAAGGGAGAGAGAGAGAGAGAATCTGAAGTGGACTCCACACCCAGCACTGAGTCCCACGCAGGGCTTTATCTCAGGACCCAGAGATCATGACCTGAATGAAGAGTCAGACGCTCAACTGACTGAGCTACCCAGGCACCCTGGAAAGATTTTCAAATAAGACTTTTTCTTAAAACACACATAGCCTTGGGGCGCCTGGGTGGCTCAGTAGTTAAGCGTCTGCCTTCGGCTCAGGTCATGATCCCAGGGTCCTGGGATCGAGCCCCGCATCGGGCTCCCTGCTCGGTGGGACGCCTGCTTCTCCTTCTCCCACTCCCCCTGCTTGTGTTCCCTCTCTCGCTGTGTCTCTCTCTCTGTCAAATAAATAAATAAAATCTTTAAAAAAAAAAACAAAACACACATAGCCTTATTGTAATTAATAATTAAAAATTAAATACAGTTCTTAAAGGCTATTTTGTTTATTGCTTTGGATATTAATACAAAACATTCTACAAAGGTTAGAATTCTATGTAATTTTTATTTTTATCTTACATTTAAATAAAAAATTTTTGCTCTTAAATGTATTTGGTCATTGCATTTTTTAAAAAGTAGACTCCACACCCAATGTGTGGCCCAAACTAACAACCCGGAGATCAAGAGTTGCATGCTTGGGGCTCCTGGGTGGCTCAGTCAGTTAAGCATCTGACTGATCTCAGGGTCCTGGGACAGAGCCCTGCTGCACCTGGCTGCATGCTCAGTGGGGAGACTACTTCAGGATTCTCTCTCCCTCTGCCCTTCCCCCTGTTCGCTCTCTCTCTCTCCCCCTCTCTAAAATAAATAAATAAATCTTAAAAAAAAAAAAAGAAAGTCTACAGCTAGGCACCCTTCTGCTTGTTTTCTTAATATTTGTATTGACTTTATCTATTTCCCAATTTAACTGTAAGTTCCTAATAATTATGTTTGTACATAAAATGGAGAGGAAGAAGAACCAGTGGAATGACGATATTCTCTGAAACCAGCAAACATACTTACTAGGTGGATTTTCCAGTTTGATGCCTTTATGGTTTTGTAAAAAGTGAGACTCAAACGGTGTCCTAACCAAGAGATAGGTTTTCCCCAATAGGTTGTCTATTGAAGATTAAAAGGAAGGCCTACTAAATACAATGCAATATCCTGGATTGGATCCTGGAATATTAAAAACAAAAAACAGAAAAAAAAAAAACACTAGTGGAAAAACTGGTGAAATCTTAGCCTGGAGTTTAGTCAATAGTAATACATTGATGTTGGTTTCTTGGTTTTTTTATTTTTATTTTTATTTTTTTTTTGAGAGAGAGAAAGAACAAGCAGGTGGTGGGGTGGGCAGAGGGAAAGAGAGAATCCCAAGCAGGCTCCACACCCAGCGTGGAGCCCAATGCAGGGTTTGATCTCAAGACCCTGAGATCATAACCCCAGCTGAAATCAGGAGTCCCATGTTTACCAACTGAGCCACCAAGTGTGCCTCTTGTTTTTGACAAATATACCATGGTTATATAAGGTGTTGGCATTGGGGAACATGGGGAAGAAATATATGGGAACTTTCTGCACTATCTTTGTAAATTTCATGTAAATCTAAAATTACTCCAAAAATATTTTAAAATAACTAAAGCTGGGGGTAAAAAAAGGAGCTTTAGTTTTTTAAAAAATATTTTATTTATTTATTTGACAGAGAGAGACACAGCGAGAGAGGGAACATAAGCAGGGGGAGTGGGAGAGGGAGAAGCAGGCCTCCTGCTGAGGAGGGAGCCCGATGCAGGGCTCGATCCCAGGCTCCGGGGATCATGACCCAAGCTGAAGTCAGACAATTAACGACTGAGCCACCCAGGCGCCCCAAGAACTTTAATTTTTTAAAAAGATTTTATTTATTTATTTATTTATTTGAGAGAGAGAGAGAGAGATGGCAAGAGAGAGCATGATCAGGGAGAAGAGGGAGAAGCAGGCTCCCCATTGAGCAGGGAGCCTGATGCTGGGATCGATCCCAAGACTCTGGGATCATGACCTGAGCCGAAGGCAGATGCTTAACCGCCTGAGCCCCCCAGGCACCCCAAGAGCTTTAATTTGAAAGTAAGATTGGTTTTGGTAGAGAGGTGTTGCCGTCGGGGCAAGGCAGACCCAGTAGAGAGTATCAGATTAGAAGGACCTAAGGACTGCTCCAGACATGGGGCAGAAAGTAAGGTAATGGAACACAACCAGTGAAAAGAAGTAGGCAGATAGACTTGCATCAGAGTACTTAGTATAAATTGTAAGGAAAGTATCTCAATAGGAATATGTGTATTATAATGAAATAGTAATTGTTGGTTTAGTACAAGCTCGTTCTCTAACATAGGTTATCATTTAGGCATTAGTCAATGTTCGATTCATATGGAATTAATAGTTGCCACCTTTGGTTAGAGTTATGGGAAACCAGATGTATTTCTTCCCTTCTTCCCTATAGACATGAGTTGCAGTTAAACCCTAGTCTTTGAGTGAGATGGCTCCATTTGTTTTTCTTCTTAGCATGTTGTCTTATTGTGTCAAATTCTGCATTTATTTATTTATTTTTAAAGGTTTTATTTCTTTATTTGAGAGAGTGAGCGAGAGAGAGTACACAAGCAGGGGCAGAGGGAGAGGGAGAAGTAGAGTCCCCTGCTGAGCAGGGAGGCCAATGGGGGCCTCGAAGGCAGATTCTTTTTTTTTTTTTAAGATTTTATTTATTTGACAGAGAGAGACATAGCGAGAGAGGGAACACAAGCAGGGGGAGTGGGAGAGGGAGAAGCAGGCTTCCCGCGGAGCAGAGAGCCCGATGTGGGGCTTGATCCCAGGACCCTGGGATCATGACCTGAGCCGAAGGCAGACGCTTAATGACTGAGCCACCCAGGCACCCCCAAAGGCAGATTCATAACCAACTGAGCCACCCGGGCACCCCCACATTCTGCATTTAAAAAAATTAAACAGCTTCAAAAATTATTATTCACCACATCCACTTTTTTTAGTCACATAATACAAGAGGCATGCCTTGGTAAAGATACTAGGCATTCTTCATGTCCCCTGAGTCTGTACATGATGGCTGGGCCTTAAATCACAACTTTTGAGATTTCTGAATTGTTACTGCATATGTAACGTGTCCCAGGCCATCCCATCACCTAGCTTGTCTGACAACCCCCAGTGTGCAAGCTGTGTCAGCCAGCCAGTCTGGTAGCTTCACTCCTCTCTGGTAGACTTCGGATACTGGAAAGTGGATTAGGTAAGATTTTGGTTTAAAGTAGTCAACTGTAGGAGCCACTGGTGTTTCTCGGTGCCGCGCCCCACCGCCTCTGTCCCGCCCCAGGAAGAGAAGGTAAACTTCGAGAGAAACCTGATGGACAGTCTCCACAACAAATGGTAACAAAAAATAATCCAGATGGGATGCAGGTGCAGTAAAATGATACAAAGGTATCTCTTTGATCCAGTTCAAGTGCCCTCCCCTGGCTAGGTCAAGGGCGTGAACAGCTGCCAGGTGGATGAAGGTGACGGTAAATTGAAAGGCAAACAGAGCGGCCAAGTCCTGGTGCATAAAAACGAGCTGCAGACCAAGGGCCTGAAGAGGATGGCCAGCGGAGGCAGAGCCTGCGGCGGACAGGAGCCCCACTGGTCTCCTCCAGGACCGCCCCCTCAGGGGGACAGAGCCGGGGGACACTGTGAGGACAGGGCTGGCAGTGCCATCAACGGCATTGGCCCCGTGGCCACCCCGCAGCCCACTGAGGATCATGTGCCGCACCGGGGTGACAGGGGCTCCTGACCGTGAACAGCACCTCCATCCACTCAACACTTCCCGGAAGGAGGGGACCCCAGAAAACAGGACAGTGTGCTGTCGTCCGCAATGGATTTCCCAGCTGCTTCCAGGCCAGAAGGTCCCGCCTTGCAAGTACAAGACCGTGACCGCCACATACCAGCCCCAGATTACCCTCCCCTTCGGGGCTCAGCTGTAGACAAAGCTGATCAGGAAGAAAAGGATGGTATTTCCAAGAGCCAGACTGAGGAGGAGGCCCTGGTGGGAATTCACCCTAGGGTGGGGGAGCACGGTTTGAACATGCCCTTCCCCTTGAAGAGAAGCTGGGGTTCGTTAAACGAGGCCGTGGCGACAGAAGTCCTAAGTGTCTACTTTGAAGCAGAGGATGCTGCTCAGGCCGGGCCCGTGGTTGATTCAAGAACCGGCTGGAAGGATGCATGGCTCCACCGGAGACAGCAGTGGGACATGGAGGTGGAGGATGCGGCCGTGGCCGAAGCCCTTGCGGCTTTAGAAGCAGCTTCTGCAGGAGAAGAGGCGGACGGGGCAGATTAGGGTCTTGGGCAGGTGTCGTGCTGCGCTTGTGGGGTGTGCGTGCTCCTTGGACAGAGCTGAGGCCCCGCAGCCTGCGCCCTGAGCAGCCTTACAGGCTGTTTGCATCAGCATCCGTTCTGCTGCTCGCGAGTGCCTGCGCCAGGCTGCTGGTTGTTAAGTACTGAAAGCCCCACTGGATAGACGGGCTATCTCTCAGGGCGCCAGAATAAAAATCAGAGTGGGCAACGTGCTGGTGCCCACAGCACACGCAGAAATTAAACAGCTTGCTCTCAACCCACAAATCTCCCTCCAGAACCTCTGGGACAGATGTTCTTGAGAACGCTCTGAAATCTCAGGGCTTAATCCCAAGGGCGCCGAATCACAGAACATTCTGTTTGTAAATTCTTTGTCTTGCTTTTAAGAGCCAAACGTTGTACCCAACCTGGAAAAGGTAGCTAGCCCCACTCAAAGTGCCTAGTGTGTCCGCAGAGCATGGTTTACCTTGAGGGACAGTCACCCGGGGAACTAACCACTAACCACTCGTTTGACATTGAGTCAAGCTCAGCAACTTGCAGGATGGAACAGAAGCCACCAGTAGTAAACAAATGGCTGACCATTAGCTGTGATATTAAGACACCTTGACCTTAGCTTTTTTACATGATTACTTTTTAATCTCCTTTGGGATTGGGGAGGCTGGTCAAAATAATTCTTAAAACTGTGTCACATTTGAGTTTTGAATTTATGAGGTTGGGAACGGCAAAGAGATAGATGGTGTGTTTTATGCCACTTAATGTCCGATTCTGCTTAAAACATGACAACATAAAAAAAATAAAGTAGTAAACCGTATCTCAAGCCAGCTTCAGCAAAAAAACACAAATGATCATTTACAAAAAGGAAATGGTGGAGGTCTCATAGTATCTGTAGGCAGGCAGGAATGTAGCTGGAGCTCAAGGAGCTAGACCGGAACCAGGGACCAGAAAATCAGCGCAGGAGCCCAGAATGCGTCTCTCTTTGGGTGTCTCATCTTTGCTTTTCTCTCTTTGCAGAAGGACGTTCTTGGCTTCTCTGCAGAGACTGACTGGCTGACTCTAGGCCCCAGGAAAAATTCCCAGGAGAAAGAACCTGATTGGCTAACTTTCTGGCAGGCACTACCCCTCATCTAATCAACTGCCATCATGGGGGCAGCGTCCCACAGTGTAGACATGACTTCCTATCCACATCCGTAGAAAAGTAGTGCTGAGAGAAGCGAGAAGTACTGTGAGCTGTGTAGACACCTCAAAGGTTATTTACTCTAAGAAATGGTGGTAACCATAACAGAGAAGAAAAAGGAGCTCTGATCGTTGTATGAAACACATACAAGTACACAAACCATGTGACATTGAACATTCTCTTAGGGTCAAGCATCAGCTGTTGCTTCAATTCCTCAAAGAATATTGAATATTTACTGTGTGCATAGGTTTGGCTAAGTACCATGGGCGCAAATTATCATATAGGGCCTCGTGTCCTCATTTGAGTTAGGGAGAGGGGTCTATGAGAAAATAAATCCACAGTACAAGAAAGTATAATATTAAATATCAAGTAGTACGGATGTTGAGTTCTACCTGAGTTTATGTCCATAATGAAAATTTACTGTTTATCTTTTTATTTAACGCCCAATTTACTAATGGTGCAAATGCATACTGGTGTTCATTTTATTTTATATAGGATGAAGACAGGAGGGACTATGGAAGGGCCTATGGATAAAAGTCCAATTACTGTGTTTCAACAAGGAAGTTGCTTGAAGAAATTTGTGCACCAGTGATCCAATTAAGCCTCCAGAGCCTGCCCCACCCATGGGTAGGCCAAAATACACCATCGCATCTCTGCTGGCCATTTTCGTGGACATTGCCCCATGAATTCCTTTTGTAAAAGTGTATGTCTTCTAGAGTACACTATGTGAGTGCAGTTGCACTTTGGAATACTTTATGATCAAGAATTAATAACTTAGCATGATTGGTTTAGAGACTGGTAAACTTAGATGAAAAATCAGAAAAGCTCGTGACTACAGAGTATGGATGATTGACCTGTGGGGGACTGTGGAAGTGAATGATGAGGTGTAGAACAACATGGTGAGAGGCCACTGGAAATTCCCTCACTTAGTCCAGGTTGTTGCCAAGAGTCCTGAAGGTGGCCTTAGAAACTTCAGTTCCTGGGGACGCCTGGGTGGCTCAGTCGGTGAAGCGTCTGCCTTCAGGTCATGATCCCGGGGTGCTGGGATGGAGCCCCACATCGGGCTCCCTGCTCCGCGGGAAGCCTGCTTCTCCCTCTGCCTGATGCTCCCTCTGCTTGTGCTCTGTCTCTCTGACAAATAAATAAATAAAATCTTTAAAAAAAAAAGAAAAAGAAAAAAGAAACTTCCGAATTCCTTAAAGCTACCATAAAAATCTTTTTTTAATAAAGATTTTATTTATTTATTTGAGAGAGAGAATGAGAGAGAGAGAGCATGAGAAGGGGGAGGGTCAGAGGGAGAAGCAGACTCCCTGCTGAGCAGGGAGTCCGATGTGGGACTCGATCCCGGGACTCCAGGATCATGACCTGAGCCGAAGGCAGTGGCTTAACCAACTGAGCCACCCAGGCGCCCAAAGCTACCATAAAAATCTTAATGGCAAAGATTAGATGTTCTGTTTTCACTTTAAACTCCTATGAAGGTTTTATACTCATACTGACTTTCCTTGTTCTTGCAGAATCCTGCAAATAAATCTTCAGTTGACTGAAGGATCAGGATTAGAGAATAGACTAAAGAAACCAGGAGCTCAAGACTCTATCTCCACCAGAAGAGCCAGTCATCTGTGTAGCCTCTTCTTCCTGCCCAAAATAGCTCTCTGGCTGACCTGATGCCAGTAAATCTCCTATTAGAGTCCTTGCTTATAGGTCCTTTGGATATTATTAACCAAGCCTGACACGTAGATGGTGTTCAGTAGTATTTGTTGTAAGATATGGTGATGACATCAGGGATTAGCATGAATGTCTTTCAGTTTAATGAGATCCGATTACCCATAGAGAAGCTGTTGGGTGGAGGAAGGCTGGTAAAATGGAAATGGGGTTCTATTTATTCTGTGACAGTATAAGCACAGCATATTTTAAAAGACAGAAAATAAAAACAGACGATGAGCACCCTGTCGTAGGTTTACCTCTACCACATCACATTGCTTCCCCTCTTTTCCATGACATCCTAGCCACCTGCTGATTGATGTCTGTTGCTAAGACCCGAGGTGTGGGCCGAAAGGCTCTGCCAGAGTGAAATATACAAAGCTACGGCTCATCCCCCCTCAACAGCTACAAACAAATCGTCAGAGGGTGAAAATAACTCAGTGGCTAGATTTCCCGGGTTGACTTTGTTCAAAGCAATTTATCCAGATAAGCCTTCCTTTTTTCTCCATTATTCTGGGAAAATGCCATCAGAAAAGATCATACAAAGTAAATACACCAGGTTTTAAGAAAAGTCTATATATTCCACTTCTAAGAAATATGTTTAAGGGGAACAAAAGGAATTATGGAGTTTTTGTTGCTGGTTTTAACACAAATCAACTGAGTGCGTCCTCATCATCTGGTAACAACCTCACCCTTTTTGTTTCCATAAAATTAGACAGTGGTTGGAAATGGTGGAAAGCATGCTGGGAAATCAAGAGGAAAAGTTTTTAAGTGGAAAACGGAGATTAAAAAATTGCACCAAGAACCTGGAGAACAATTTGACAGAATTCAAGCCAACCTGTGTCATTTATAAATTGACTCCAAGGACTGTGTGTATAAAACAGATTAAAATGACTAGTCTCTGGAGAAAAGGGATTTAAATGCATAAGCACTTTTCTGTGTCAGCCATGTTTTTAGTAAAATTTTGAGAACACTTCAAGGCTCACACTTGGTACTAAAATTTTTAGTTTTTAGAAATGTAACTCATGCAAATAAAGGTTTCTTTGGACCCAAATGAGAATTATTTTATGAGAGAAACTCCAGTTTAAAAACTATACCATCGGGATGCCTGGGTGGCTCAGTCGTTAAGTGTCTGCTTTCGGCTCAGGTCATGATCCCAGGGTCCCGGGATCGAGCCCCGCATCGGGCTCCCTGCTCAGCGGGAAGCCTGCTTCTCCCTCTCCCACTTCCCCTGCTTGTTTTCCTTCTCTCGCTGTGTCTCTCTCTGTCAAATAAATAAAATCTTAAAAAAATAAAAAATAAAAACTACACCATAGAGTGCCCATCAGTGTAAGAAAACAGTTCAATTATTTTTTAATATTTGTCGAATCAAAGCAGCACCATATCTGACTAATTCCATTATTATAATTTGAATATTCTATTATAGTATTGATATCCTGCTGCTTTTACGGTATGCCTTGTTTTACACAAGCAATGAATTCAGACAAATGCATACGAAAATAGAATCCTATTACCCTCCACTGTGTCTAATATGATTCTGCTGGGTTGTTTCAAAGATTTCTTTCTTTCTTTTAGAGAGAGCACACGTGTGATCCAGGGAGGGGCAGAGGGAAAGAATGTCAAGCAGACTCCCTGCTGAGCAAGGAGCCTGATGCAGGCTCAATGCAGGGCTCCATGTGGGCTGGATGCGGGGCTGGATCTGGCAACCCTGAGACCATGACCTGAGCTGAAATCAAGAGTCTGACGATTAACCGAGTGAGCCACCCAGCGCCCCTGGCTCTGCTGTTTTAAGGATACCACTCATTTTCCTCTCCCCACTTTCCCCACTTTTGTCCCCATCTTCATCCTTGCCCAGTTCAGTAAAGTGCACTAGACCAGTGGGATAAGGAGGGAAAGGATGATATATTGGTTAGGGTAAACTTTTTTTCTGAAGAACTACTGAATGTCAACCACCCCAATATAGTATAAGAACACTTTTCACAATTGAAACCGCAGCATGATTTGAATTAAGCTTTTCATTCAACAAACATAGCGGAACATCTGTGTACTTGTTGTTTTAGGTATTGGAAATACAAATATGAATAAGATAGCTTCTGACTCTTTTCAGAGAAAAGCATCGTGAGGTGGGAGGAGTGACAGACAATTTACAGTGTGGTTGGGTTTTAAAGGCTTGGATAGGAATTCACCGGGTAGACAAGGAAGAGAAGGGCTTCTGGGCAAAAGGAAGAGTAGGTGCAAGGCAAGAAGATACGAAATGCCAAGATGTTTTGGGACCACCTAAGCAAAAGGTGAGGGGAGATGAGGATGGAAAGTGGTCAGAGATGATGTTGCAAAGAGACAAGAGCTAGATCACAAAGGGCTTTGTATACCACTGATTATTAGAGAGGCCTTCTCTCGTACTGGGTGGAGGTAGTGCACATGGCCTCGATGAAATTGTCCCCACACTATGTATTTCTTTTGATTCTCATTTCATACTTACTAAGTTGTTTTCTGGCTTGATTGTAGAGATACCTTGGTATCAGGAAAGGGACACTCAGAGCAGTAAGCAGAAATAAAATGGTAAGTGGAAAAATAGAACTCCATTTCAGATGAGTAGACAGAACAGAAAGTTCAGAAACAGACCCAAATCTCTTTGGAAATTAATTATATGATAAAAGTAGCATTTCAAACCATTACAGAAAGGATGAGGAAATGATGCTGGAACAATTGGTTAGCCTTTTGGGGAAAAAAAATAAAGCTTGATTCTCTCCCTTCGCCCCCAAAAATAACTTGATCCCTACCTATTCCTTAAACCAGATAAATTCAAAATGGAGCAAAGATTTAACTGTTAAAGCGAAAATATTAGGAGAAAATATTGGTAAACATTTCTTTCTCTTTTTAAATAGAATTACATCTTTTTATTTTTTGGAAATGATTTTTTTTTTAAAGTAACCTCTACACGAAATGTGTGGCTCGAACTCACAACCCTGAGATCAAGAGTCGTATGCTCTGCTCTACCAACTAAGCCAACCGGTTTCAACCCCCTGCCCCCTGTACACATTTCAATAATCCTAAGGTGGGGAAGATATTTTAAAGTATGATCCTAAACTCAGAAATCATAGAAAGATTGAGAAATCTGACTACATAAAAATGTATAGTTTCCTAATAGCACATGAATATTGAAAATAAAAACAATGAGCTGTGGAAAAAATATTTACATTTATGATAAATGGCAAATTTACTTAATATATAAAGAGCTCTTTTGAATCAATAAAAAAAGCTCAACATCAGAATTAGGAAAATGGCCAATGGAGGTTGTTAACCTAATCAGTCTCTCCATAATCAAAGTAACTATGTATTATAAATGTTAAAAAATTCAACTAAAAATTGTTAAATGTCTTATTTCTTTCATCTTTGTTTCTCTGGACAAAGACTAACTCTCTTTCTTCTCAAATATGTATATCTGATTAATATTTTACCTTCTTTATTTTGGCTGCCCCTGTTTTCAAAATGTAGACTTGAAACTGCTTTTCAAATATATATTAACCCTTTGAAATATGTTTATTTGTGAACCTCCCTTTCTGGTGAATCCTAAAACAATACCTGAAAAGATATAGGGGTAGATCTTTGTAGCCATTGAAAAAGAAATGTAAAGCTGGTGTGCTAAGATCTGAGGGTCTAATAGTTTCTGGATTCTGGCTGGGACTCAATCCTTCTCATTTCTTTATTATTATTATTTTTAAAGATTTTATTTATTTATTTGAGAGAGAGAGAATGAGAGAGAGCGAGCACATGAGAGGGGGGAGGGTCGGAGGGAAAAGCAGACTCCCTGCCCAGCAGGGAGCCCGATGCAGGACTCGATCCAGGGACTCCAGGATCATGACCTGAGCCGAAGGCAGTGGCTTAACCAACTGAGCCACCCAGGCGCCCAGTCCCTCTCATTTCTTCCTGCATACTGATATTTTGTAGTTTTCAGTACACAACTCTTTGACTTCCTTGGTTTAATTTTTTCTTAGGTATTTTATTCTTTTGGATGTTATGGTAAATGCAAATGTTTCCTCAATTTGTTTTTTGGATTGTTCATTGCTAGTGTATAGAAATATAATTGATTTTTGTATGTTGATCTTGTATTCTGCAAATTTGCTGCATTCATTTATTAGCTTAAGTAGATTTTTCTGGAGTCTTTATAATTTTCTGTTTATGGGATCATGTCATCTGTGAATAAATTTCAGTTCTTCCTTTCCAATTTGGATGTCTTTTATTTCTTTTTCTTGCCTAATTGACCTGGCTAGAACATCCAGTACGATGTTGAATAGCAGTGAAGAAAAAGACATCCTTGAACTTAGGAACTTGGGAGGAAAGCTTTCAGTCTTTCACCATTGAATATGATGTCAGCTGGGCGCCTGGGTGGCTCAGTTGGTTAAGCGACTGCCTTCGGCTCAGGTCATGATCCCAGGGTCCCGGGATCGAGTTCCACATTGGGCTCCCTGCTCAGCGGGGAGTCTGCTTCTCCCTCTGATCCTCCCCCTCTCATGCTCTCTGTCTCCCATTCTCTCTCTCAAATAAATAAAATCTTAAAAAAAAAAAAAGAATATGATGTCAGCTATAGATTTTTCATAAATGCCTTTTATCAGGTTGAGAAAATTCTCTTCTATTTCTAGTTTTCTGAATGTTTTATCCTGAAAGGGTGTTAAATTTTGTCTAATGCTCTTTCTGCATCAATTGAGATGATCATGAGGATTTTTTCCATTATTCTATTAATGTGGAGTATTACTACACTGACTGATTTTCTTATGTTGAACTACCCTGGCACCTGTGGGATAAATCCCACTTGATCATGGTTTATAATCCTCTTAATATGCTGCAGAATTTGGTTTGCTAGTATTTTTCTAGAGGATTTTTGCATCTATATTCATAAAGGATATTGGTCTGTAGTTTTTCTTTCTTGTTATATCTTTGTCCGGTTTTGGTGTCAGGGTAATGCTAGCCTCAAGAATGAGTTAGGAAGTATTTTCTCCACTTCTGCTTTTTGGAAGAGTTTGAGAAGGGTTAGTGTTATTATTATTATTTTTTTAAAGATTTTATTTATTTATTTATTTGAGAGAGAGAGAGAGCAGGAGAGGGGGGAGGGTCTGAGGGAGAAGCAGACTCCCTGCTGAGCAGGGAGCCCGATGCGGGACTCGATCCCGGGACTCCAGGATCATGACCTGAGCCAAAGGCAGTCGCTTAACCAGCTGAGCCACCCAGGCGCCCCAGTGTTATTATTTTTTTAAAGACTTTATTTTCAAGTCATCTCTGCACCCAAGATGGGGCTCGAACCCACAACCCCCAGATCAAGAGTCGCATGGTCTACCAACTCAGCCAGCCAGGCGCCCCTAGTGTTAATTAGTATTATTTTTTAAAGATTTTATTTATTATTTGAGAGACAAGAGTGCACGCAAGCAGGGGGAAGGAGAAGGACAAGCAGACTTCACACTGAGCAGGGAGCCCAACGTGGGGCTTGATCTCAGGACCCTGAGGTCATGATCTAAGCTGAAACCAAGAGTCCAACGATTAACCTCCTGAGCCACCCAGGCACCCCAGTGTTAATTATTTTTTAAATGTTTGGTAGAAATCGCCAGTATAGACATCTAGTCCTGTGCTTTTCTGTTTGATTACTGATTCAGTCTCTTGTTATAGATCTGCTCAGGTTTTTTATTTCTTCTTAAGCCAGGTTCAGTAATTGTTGTCATTTATTTTTTTTAAAATGTCCAACATATGCATGAAATCTGCTTTTTGTCTCTGATCCTATCTTTGTTATTTATATCTTTTTCTTTTTTCTTAAACAATCTCACCAAAAGTTTGCCAATTTTATTAATAAGTCTTTTCAAAAAACTTTGGATTTGTTGATTTTTTTTCTACTTTACTTATGGTTTCCATGTCATTAGTCTCTACTTGTTTTTGTTTTCTTCTGCACTTTGTTTTTTGTTTTAATTCATTGATTTTCAGCCTTTCATATGTATATACGAAGTATTAGTCTGGGGTATATAAAATAATATTTTTATAGGAAATTAATGATCAATATTGGCATTTAGTGTGGTTCATCCTAATATTTAAAGCAAAAAAAATATTCTGTAAGCAATATTTTTTACAAGTTAGAAAAATGATATTATATTTATTGTTTATGAGTGCATTTATTTGTAGTAAAAGTACAAATCATACATGGGAAAGACATACACCAATGTCAGAATAGTAGTTAGGGAAGGAAAGGAGGTGAAGGGATATATGTGTAATATTTTATTTCTTACAAAGAAAACATTAAAAATATAAATAAAGACATAAAACAAATAAAGCATAATACCAACAACGTTTTAATTTTGTCGGTGGAGGGGCGCCTGGGTGGCTCAGTGGTTAAGCATCTGCCTTCGGCTCAGGTCATGATCCCAGGGTCCTGGGATCAGGCTCCATGCTCATTGGGGAGCCTGCTTCTCCTTCTCCCCCTTGCTCTTGCTCTCTCTCTCTCTCTGTATTTCTCTCTCTCTCAAATAAATAAATAAAATCTTAAAAAAAATAATTTTGTCCGTGGGGAAATCCCACAAGATTTAATAATTAGAATTTTTGTTATCATTCTTTTATTTTTTTATTTTTATTTTTTTTAAGATTTTATTTATTTTTATTTTGAGAGAGAGAGAATGAGAGAGAGGGAGTACATGAGAGGGGGGAGGGTCAGAGGGAGAAGCAGACTCCCTGCCGAGCAGGGAGCCCGATGCGGGACTCGATCCAGGGACTCCAGGATCATGACCTGAGCCGAAGGCAGTCGCTTAACCGACTGAGCCACCCAGGCGCCCTGTTATCATTCTTTTAAATGTTAACAGTTAGTGAATCCAGGTAAATAACATACAAAAAACTTATACAAACAAGAACAACAATAACATTTTTAGAAATTGCATATTTCATTGATGATTTCTCTATTTAAAATGCAGTATTGAGGGGCACCTGGGTGGCTCAGTCCTTGAGCATCTGCCTTTGGCTCAGGTCATGATCTCAGGGTCCTGGGATGGAGTCCTGCATGGGGCTCTGTGCTCAGCAGGGAGCCTGCTTCTCCCTCTCCCACTCCCCCTGCTTGTGTTCCCTCTCTTGCTGTCTCTCTCTGTCAAATAAATAAATAAAATCTTTAAAAAAAAATAAAATGCAGTTTTGATTTTGTTGGTCATTTCTACTGGTTCTTGCTCTTGGAGTCTAATTTCTTTGTGTGCTTGGTCATCTTCGCGTGTTCCTCGTTGTACTTCAATTTTTTGGTAAGAATAATTTGAGATCAAGGATAAAGTATCTTCCTCCAAAGAGGATATGTATTTGTTTCTGCCAGGCACTTGGGGCACCAGCAATATGGCATTGTTTTTAAGTTTAGTTGAGGGCTTGAGGTTCTCTGAATAACCCAGAGAATCGGACTTAGGCTGTAATCTCACGTAAGGACTGTCCCAATTCTGGCTCCCCCTTTCCCCGAGGGTGTTGCACTCTGGGGTCCTGACTTATTGTGGGCAAGTTTGGTTTGTGAGGGCTCTGGGCTTTGACTTCTGCCCTGCTGCCACTTGTTCTGTGAGTTTTCGAAATGGAACTTCAAAAATTGGGGGGATTGTCAAAAACCCTCAGAGAAAAAGTTGCTTTTGTTCTTATTCATCTCCCTGGTGAATATTTCCCTTTTAATTTTGGCCTCGTAATTCCGTACTGTCACACGTTGCGTCTTTTATGCTTTTACAATGGTGATTTTTATATTTTCTCTGGCTTTTTCACTTGTTTTCAGTAGGAAGGTTGTCCAAATAATCTAGCCCTCAATTACCAGAATTAGGAAACTGGTATTTAATTCAAACCCATTTTATTTTCTCTCTCTTTTGCTTAAAGTGAAGTCCCTTCCTGTATGTCCTTTCAGGCTTAATGCCTCATCTGTGTGGGATCACTCAAACAGGAGAAGACATATTTCCATAAGAATAAGCGGTAATCATAAGGCCAAAGATAGGTCCCCAGGGCAAAAAGAAGAAAAAAATCTACAGAAACATAAGCTGACTCTAGTTCAGCAACACCCAACAATTTTCACAACCATTTATATCATCAAACGGAGCTCAGTTTATCAGTCTAAAAATATCTTCATTCGGGTTGCTTCATAGTTTCCTTCAAGAACAAAGCATCATTTCTTACTTGGTGTGTTTGGAACTGAAGGGCCCATTCAAGGGTTCTCCCCAGCCTCTCTCCCCCAAAAGAAGCAGCTTGAACTAAAAACGAGTTCACATTTCCACTTCTCAAGTTCTGTGCTCGTATTCTTTAAATAACAGCTGTCTCAACTTTTATCCACCATTATTTTTAAAACATTCCTAGGCCTCACAATTCATCCTAGGCACCTTGTTAACTTTCCATCATAACAGGCAGATTCCAGCTGATTCCCTCCTCCATCTTTCCCCTTCTCAACCTTGGATAGTTTAAATGGAACAGGGCTGATGACCTACAATGCTGCCTTTCATAAAAGCTGCCTGCAGCTAAATAGGTCTTGCCAACATATGTGCTTATAAAAACAGGCACCTCTGTGGCAATATTTTATTCCAATGATGCTTTTTCCATTCTACCAGTACATGCCAGAGATGCAATCATTTTGGTTGATGGCCCTCAATACAATGGAGTCTGTTTTGATTCACTGAGAGCCCCAAACTGAGCTGTTTTAACACATCAGAGAGACACGAATTTTATGAGTAAGGAAGAGGGTAGTACATGAAGGGACTCTATTGGTTTTTAAATTTGAAAATTAGTGCTTCTTGTTCAGCAAGTTTTCATTTAATATTTGATAGAAGTACGGGCTGTTTCAAAGAGGCATCTTAAAATACTGCATTTTAAAACAATTTGTTGTAACACAAGGAAGTTTGTATATTGGGTGTAGATGGGAAACGGAGTGAGACTGTGTATTATGGAGAGTGCATCAGAAAAAAGAATGGGGGCACCTGGGTGGCGACTCTTGGTTTTGGCTCAGGTCATGGTCTCAGGGTGGTGGGATGCTCAGCAGAGTCGGCTTGAGATTCTCTCCCTCTCCCTCTGCCCCTCCCCCGGCTCGCGCTCTCTCTCTCTCAAATAAATGAATAAAAATCTTGAAAAAAAACAATAAGAAAAAAGGATGAAGGGAGGAAGATCTTAGGTAGAGGAGAAGAATGGATGATTTGGTTAAAGCTGGCTACCTGCCTCCTCCAGTCCTTCCAAGTTTGTAGGGACAATTAGTTGAGGATAGACCAGTTATGATATGGTAACAAAGAGTAACAAAGTAGCGCCTTACGGCAGCAGAGATTGATTTGTCCCTCATATCCAATGTGGGTCTGAGGGACTTT